AGCAGACACCTCTATTAAGGTGGCTCGATGGGGTTTTTCAGAGTCAATACCTTCCAAGTTTGAGCATAAACCACGTCGTCATTAACAAAGATTTGAAAAATTACCACCACGGCTGTATCAGATGAAGATGAAAATTTGTTATGATCAGGGTTGCAATGAAATCGGAGTTGATATAGCAACGAAATGACGCCATTGCCTATTTTACTTAGAGCTGTATTTCTCGGCACTGAGAACTGTATTAAGCGGGCTGCTGGTTATTCCCCAAGGGTGTCCGCTTAATACAGGTTTGGCTTCCTAAGAGTAAAATTGAGCTCAGTCAGGACTTGAGTAGTCTTCAACATAGCCGTGTCGTCACGCAACACTTCTCCAGGGACACAAAGAAGGCTTCGAAGGGGACTGGGATTTGCGCGACTTACACTGTGACTGTCCATAAGAGTTGCTCCGCCAAAGGCACTGGAAACAAACTGCATGACTCTGTTCACAGCATCTATTGCCGCGGCGGAATCAGGGTTGTCCAATTGAGCCCTTGGATTGGCAAAGACCTGGGGCTGGCTTGAAGGAACAGCATGGGGACTTTGAAAGGCGGGTACAACTTCAACACGATTTACTAGAAGTAACAAACCGAAGACATTTCTAAAAGAACCTGAATTAGAAAAGAGGAGCAAGTGCATGCTCTAGGACAAAAAAAACCTACACTAAATTTCCCACCAAAATGGGGAGATAACAATCGTTTGTCGCCAATATTGTGACATGTAGAGGATATATTTACCCTGCTTCTCCCAACAGCGCATAAAATTAGATTTTAAGACAACACTTTTTTTTAGAAAATTCTAAAACACAAAATTCCACGCACTGACTCTATGTCAGAAATTCTAGCGCAAGTTATTTTGGAATCTTTCTCGTACGTTCTTAACGATCAAGGCTGCGCCTTTGATTTCCTTTCATTGGCTCCGTTAATAGTTACCACTGAATTACCTACACTACATGTTTCCACAGTTAATTTTGAAGTTCAATGTATTAACCTACGATTTAAGGCGACCCTAGCGGGAAACGTGTGGACAAAATACTTTGGGAAACCACAAGTTTCTACACACTGATACTATACTGAGGAAGTTTTCAGTTCGTTAAATCAGTTAACATTATCAACCAATTCATTTAGTGGGATCATTATACTTTTCTGGAAAACTGCCCACCTGCCCCTCCCCTAAGCCAACCTTTTGCCCTAAGTGAGAAGTAAGTGTTAATGTTGGCTAAGGGGAGGGGTAGGTGGGCAGTTTCCCAAAAAGGTATAATTTTTACTTTACCTTCAGAGCCTGAGAGCGAGACCGTAGGTTGGTGGTTACCGACCTTAACCATCAATGTATACCCTCTTCCAAATCTGGTGAATAAAATAACGGATGATTTTAGCAAGAAGAGCAACGGCCGATCTGAGTTTGAACTCGATGGGAAATTAAGAACAAGAGAGAAAGAATAAACTAAGACATCAAAAGCTCCCCATCTACAGGCTTATTTTATACGAAAGATTCCTTACAATGTAGTTACAAAGCTTTGTATAATAACGAAGGCATTCTATTCACGCTCACTGAACATGACGCAAAAATATCGTAAGGGTTTGGGACGTGTTTAAACTGCAACATACCGAATTAAACTCATTTGCTCTGTCGATCAGTAGTAAGAACATTCTACCACGGTGCATCGAGGTAACGGTACTCAGGAAAGGAATGGCTCAGTACAGAGCTTGCAGGGCTCGAAAAAGAAGTCTCTTCCGGTGGTTCGGGATACAGCGGTCAGCGGTCAGCGATGATGATGGCCGCGTCTTTTGAAGCTGGCTAGTTTAGTGTTATTTTTTGCCTTATTTGTGCGTTTAAATAATTTAGTTTTTCGTGTAAGAGTTCCTGTTAGTGTCTTTTATTTGAATATGTCAAAGAAAGGAAAGAAGCCAGAAGTTTTGCCCTACCGTCATTGGAAAATACTATTGGAACAATCTTCCTCTTTCTATTCGCAATAAATCATCGAAAATCCTGTTCAAAAAGGCACTTAAAAACATTATCTTGCTCAATATTGACTTGTGTGCGTGTAGGTGTGCGCGCGTGCGTGCGTGTTTGTGTTTTAAGAACAACAAAGCTATAACAGCATAAAGTCAATCTTCCTAAAGGGTCATAATTAATTTTACAATAATGTTCCCTTCTCCATTCTTATTTTTTTCATGCTATTATGTACACATAGTTTAAACAACCTTGTACTAATTCATATTGTACAACTGATGTATTATCTATAGGATGGAGTAAAAATAAAATACAATACAATACAATACAAGTAGATTTTCTTCCTGGACAAGTAAATTTTAAAGCTCACTTGCCCGATGGACAAGTGTCCAGGAAAGTTATCCTCTAAGCACGTAGTTGCCCCGGGCAGGAAAAAATGTGAGAGCTGCTTGCCCAAAGGACGTGCTGGAGTTCAAGAATTTTCAAGCCCCGAGCTTGCCTTACCTGCTCTTAAGATGCTGAGTGGAGCCAAGACATTTGAAGTGTCCGTTCACCATAATCGCCAGTCTTGTACAAAGAGCCTCGCACTCTTCCATGCTGAAAGAGAAAGCCACGTCAACATTTTAACCGCTAAGACCATCGGCTACAAATTTGAGTCTGTGCATAACAAAAAATAAACTAACAAAACAAAACAAAAATTCTTTAAAGCCTCAGCCTCACTGGTACGTAATTATTCTATTCTTAGCCTGCAAACAAGCGCTCTTGGCCATGCCAGGCGAAAACCGCTAAAATAGCGAGGATATTTCAGTCTATTGCTTTGAAGTTAATTTTTTCAGCAAATGGGAGGTTCACTATATTTTAGCACTACAAATTGCGATCGCACTAATACGTTCTATTCTAAATAAGCAAATTGGCGAAATGCTGTTGCATAGTGCGTCCACTTGGTATTGAACAAAAGCCACTTAAACAGTCTGGCTTAACCAAATGCACTGCCCTGTCGTTTTGCTAATCTTAACCTATTGCTCTCTTAACGTTCTCGTTGCCCCCGCCGTCGTCGGATTTTAAGGTCCCTGATGCGTGTACCTGTGTGACGTTAGCACGATGGAGCGTCCGTCTTTCAAGACACCTGTCAATGTATCCCAGAGAAAGCGTCGGGCAACTGGATCCATACCAGTGGTGGGTTCATCCTACAAAACAAACAATGAAGCATCTTAGTGGTTTCAAATAGGCCCCTTGCAGCTTGCCATTCACGTGGTACAAAACCGCCATGCTGGGATGCAAACGTCGCACTGGGGCAAGACCAACAAAAGGCATACATAGTTTTAAATGGTAATTTCCTTTTTTTCGAAGATCCAGACAGGCATTAGCAGAGTCCAGGGAGGAAGCCTTGAAACTCTGTCCCGTGACTCCTGCTCAAAATTCTTTTCTTTTTTCACTAGATTCGCCAATTCTTGGCAGGGTAACCACAACAGCGAGAAGCAAATTACCGCGGGCCCGTAACAGACAGACCACACCACAGGGGTCTAGCTCTGGTCTCCTACTTTTTTTAACAGCACTGTGGGTTCTGTAACGTGCGATTGACGTCATCACCAAATAAAGCGATCATCTGACCTAGGATAAAGTCTTAGATTAAGGCCAGCATGATCTCCCTAGTCTTTTTTTGTAAGACCCTGCATGGTTGGTGGTCCGGCTGGGGTTTGAACTTGCGACCTCCCGCTTGGTAGATCGGCGCTTATCCCACTGAGCTAAACGGGCAGAGGTTTTTTATTTTTTCCATTTCTTTAGACTGACCTAAAAGACTCAAGCTTTGGCTATCCGTAGCTGCCAGCTCATGGATTCTAATCCGGCTCGAGGGACCACTTTTGTCCTCCAAAGGCAGAACAGTCAAAAAAAGAACCACAATACGATGTACAGTTTAATTTACTGTGCAAAGGTGCTTACCAGGAATATAATTGGTGGATTTCCAACCAAAGCAATTGCTGTACTCAGCTTTCGTCTGTTGCCACCGCTGAAAAAAACAAGACAAAAACAAATGATAAATGCACCTCACTCTGAAAAGCCTTTGGCAACAAAAGGAAAAAATGAAGCCTCGATTATACGGAGAAAAGCGTGTCACGGGTTGAAGGGTCACTCGCCTACTCGAGCTACCCTGGGCAAGACAACTTTTCCTACATTTCCTTACAAAATTTGGCGAACAGTTCACATGAGAAACAAAAGGATGGCTAAGCTAGAAGGGTGAGCCAGCTTGGCGGGTAATCCTGTCTCGATGGTAGGGTCCCCCTCCTAGCCGGGCCAACGTTTCTCGATCTAAACACTTAAGGTCGCCCAGGCGCATCAACGCGGTCAAGGCGAGACAATCAGAGTATGCGCGAGCATTGTTGACTTGAGCAAAGGGGTCACCTTTTTTATTGACGCTCGCTTAAAGGTCATGTTACACGCGACGATTCGCAACAACGATTTTTAGCGCAACACAGCGTTGCGATGTTGGGGCAATGTTGTAACCATTCCAAACAATGTCGCAACAATGTTGCAACGTTGTGTTGCGCTAAAAATCGCCGTTGCGAATCATCTGTGTAAAATGACTTGAAGTTGACTCGGCTAGGAGGGCTCTTTCCCGGAAAAACTGTTCTCAACGTAATTGAGGCCTAACACAACAGAAAAAAACTGAGACCAAGGGTGTACCTATAGTTTCCGCACAGGGAGTCCGCCCACTTCTCGTCTGCGTCTTCTACTTGTTACAGACTTTGTTACGGAAACTAGAAGAGCAGACCTTGAGGTGCGTTGGCTCGTATGTACCAATCGTAGAGGGCAGGTCAGTCTTCAAGTTAATCAGCGTCGAACTAAAAAAGAAACACAAACGAGAAAAGTTAAGTTTATGCATGGTTACGATCTTTATTAGAAATGTCTTCATTCATTTCATTCAGGCTTGAAATGTTTCTCCAAATGTTTTAAAGATTTTCCGTGCATAGAGTGCTAAGCAAGATTATATTTAGTTCCTGGCAGAGACAGCAAAATGAAAATGTAACAAACTGCAATGTACTGTTCCTTTCTTTCAGTAGCAAATGCTATATTAGTCCTCTCGTAGCCGTTTTTTGAGTCGTCACACAACACTCCTGTGGAGAGAAGCGTTGCGTGACGACACAACAAAGGGCTGCGAAGGAGACTAGCGCCATATAAGCGTCGATAAAAATTCGTGAGATAATTCTAAAAATTGAATAAATTACATACCTGAGGACAGTAACCAATTCTCTGTTGAACCTGTTGAAAAAACGAAAATACTAAGTGGCAGGGCAAACAAAATTTAAAACTTGTAATCTCTTATGAAAAGAAAAAATCTGCGATCATCGTAAACTCGAGAGTGAACTATTGTCTGCAAGAAAAGAAATATAAACATGCAATGGATAGAATGATATAGTACCTGCTTCAAATTTGATTGGATGTTGAATCCATCCAGGTAAGCCGTACCTTCCGTTATACTAAGGTCTCCTGTCAGCATGCTAAATGTCGTTGTCTTGCCCGCACCTTCAAAAATATTGATCAATGACCGATCAATATTGAGCAGTATATAATATTGATCAATCAATAGTTGATCAATGTCAATCAATAGGTTAAGGTAGCATTTCAGTCACATGTATACCACCACAAGCAACATTCCAAATCAACAGGATTGATGAATTATTGAACAGTAGAATAACCCTCAGCATATGAGTATATCTATTCATTAACTTTTGATGCAGATCTCTACTGATTGCTTCATTTCACAAATACGATAAACCTGTATGGACTTTACAATGACAAAGCAACCCTCCTAGTATTTAATAAAATTTTGCTTATTAAACAGTGACAAAAAGAACTACAGCTTAATGTATACATTAACTAATAGACCACACCTTCTATGGGTTTACCGGAGTGATAACCCTCGCGGGATGTTGGGAGAACACGAGTTCGAGTGTTCTCCCAACACCCCAAGTGGGTTATCACGCCAGTAAACCTATAGAAAGTGTGATCTATTGTTTTTATAAAATTACTTTAAGTGAAACTATGAGTTTACCGGCACAATAAAGCACAGGTTTTTAACCAATCGGAACGTGCGTACTATCTTAGTTATTTTATAATTTAAAGTAAATCGTCTCGTCCAACCATTTGATCAACAGACTTGTACGTCCGAAATAAAAAGTTAATTGTTGAGTTAGTTGGGTGAGGAAGGAGACAGGAAGGGGTACTATCAGGGTCACCCTAGTTCTGCAATGGTTTACCTACCATTTATACCAAGGAGACCAAAACACTCTCCACGTGGAATACCAAGACAAAGATGATCAACTGCAGCTACGTGTGTACCTCGATATACCTGTGAACAGCCGCAAAAAGAAGTCAAATGTGAATTAAAGGGTTCAATGTAATTAAACTTGGTTAACTACTTAGAGCAAGCGCAATAGCGTAGCGTGGTGTTTGTGTGTTTTGGTGCAATGGCTGCCCTTTTAGGTTAGCATTATTGCACTTTCCACTGTTGCACCACTGGACCTTCGGCAGTTGCAAGACCAGCGGTGTTCTCGCGCGGTTAATGCGTGCGCCTCCACTCAGGCTAGTAGTTTATACATGTATAACACTCCTCAGCGCTCGAGGCGATTCGATGTGATTGGTCTTTTCAATGCTTTTCTACTCCTTCTCCCCGATGCCACAACCCTCCCCCCTACCCGTAGTTTCAGGTTTCGTTTATTCAGTTGCTTTCCTCCACAACATCCACTGAACCTCGAGTCTTAGTGGGACATACACTATGGTTTAGACTGGGCGTGGTGGGCGGGGCATGTGATCGGGTCGCGTGTAATAAAGGCTTATAGGGTGTTCTACCGATCTGGGTTTGGGTTGTCGGTAACAGGCATATGCATCGAGTTGCTTGATACAAATTAATGCGTAGAGAAGAACCCGTGGGCGATTTTTACCATACATTGAATTGATTGTATGACAAACCTTTGTTAAATCTTTGAGCACGACAGCCTCAGCTTGAACGGCAAAACCTTTTTGGTCAGACAATATGCGAACTCGCTCATTAAACACGTCTTCGTCCTATTATAAATTAAACATATAAATAATTCAAACAAATACACGAGTGGTTCACAGGCTTTCCCAAGCCTCAGTGGCGAACACGCGAGAGCTAGAGACAAGCGAGAAGCGCGAGAAGGGAATGATGGGAACGAGCGTGGAGCGCGAGCGGAGAGTGGTGGAGCGTCCCCGCTCTCCTTAATAATTAACTCAAATATCCCCCAAAAAGTGATCGCGAGCGACTGGGGACGGGGACGAGGAAGTACGTCAGGGTCATGCACTGCATGTACGTAGAAATGGCGTCATAATCCCCTGTATTGCTTAAACTTGAGTCCTTCACTGTATGTAGCGTTCAAGGACAAACTTTCATATTATTTGCGGATTTAGCTATTTGTATGCGTTCTCATCCGTCGAACCCAATAAATAGCATTTGGCGAAGAAGTTGTATTTAAATAACTTAAATAATAAAGCGAAAGTTAACCACAAGCATCAATATAAAGACATTAAGCCACAATTAGCCCTTGATTAAATGATTTTCAGTTCATCATATCGATGATGAAATCACACACATCGTCAAAATCGCTAAGGTTTTGAAAGCTACACCGTGATAAAAGTTTATATACGTCAATTCAAAGCTTTTTTTAGCATTGATCACGGTATAGAAACTTATACAAACACTGAAAATGAAGTCAGGTAATATTATACCTCTCCTTCCTTTCTCTTCATTTGGGGCTCTGGAGAGATCTTAACCTTTGCCCCCATAAAAAAGTTCATCTATGAAAGAAACCATGAGGAAAAATAAAGTTAATTTAAATGAAATTACAAGATGATAGGAGAACAAACCACAAGAATTAAAGCCACATCAAGTGTTTCAAAAAACAAAAACAGTTTAGACAAGGTGTGTGGATCAAAAGAAAACATAATTTCTCAGACGCTCTCTGACAGCAAAAAGTAAACCAAACTACTTAAGTTGGCAAAACTGTGCAATGTATCAAGGCTAAAATAAAAAAGCTAAACAACTACTAAAAAAATTCAAAACATCGTGATCACTGGTGAAAAAATCAAGCAGAAAATTAGTTTGCTAACAACCCTACGGACCCCATCTTTTACTATGAATGATAGCTAAGGCGAAACCTTCATAATATTGGGGAAGCATGCGGTTTACTTACAATCGCCAAGATTGTGTAGTTCCAGAAAATATACATACACGCTAACGAAGGACAAAGGAAATTCTGAGGGGAGAGGGGTCCAAAAGGCGGCAATATACGAGAGGAAGGAGAAGGCATAGATTGAAGTATAGTGCATCGGCATTTTTGACAGAAATATTCTTTCCAGGGGATATCCAACCAAGTGGGAAAATCATGGAAATTCCAGGGGCGATGGGCAATGACAAGTACATTGGGTTGGGTCGTCTAAACAAAAGTGCCTTAGGGAGATATGGATATTTTCTGGAAATAAGCATTTCACCGTGCAAAATCAAGTGGCAGCCTTTTGAAAGACGTGTTCGCACTTAACAATCGCACGAAAAAATAGGGCATGACGGACAGTCTAGCGAAATGTCTACCTCAATAAGAAGAATGAATAGGAACAAAACAATCGCCTCCACGAACATGTACAATGTAGCCTGACCCACACCCGGACGGTCCCAATCAAGAACATTGTCTGTCGACTTGCAAGGAATGCCAGGTCTGCAGAGTCAATGACAGGTTTAAGGTAAGAGTAACAATAATTCCTTTGCAGATACTGGTCAAGTGCTTGGATACCACTTAGCAACGGCTCTCTGGATGGTACGCCACCCAAGCGTTCATTCCAATCACAAAGCTTTGACTGCGATCGAGTCAGTGAACCATTCCTGGCTAGTTAGGAGGGCAATGGTGGCGCGGTGGTGAGAGCACTCGCCTCCCACCAGTGTGGCCCAACTTCAAATCTCGGCATCGAAGCCATATGTGGGCTGAGTTTGTTGTTGGTTCTTTCCTTTGTTCCGAGAGGTTTAT